TAAGATTTTCCTATTTTAAAGTAGACTCTATTCTTCCTTATAAAATAGCACTTTCACCACAAAACTTACAAAAGCACAGGTCTATATCAACTGCAGTTTCTTTCCTCATATTCTTCACATCTTTGCAAATGGAATCCTGTCTCAACTATTCTACTAAAACTTCTCTGTCAGAGTCTACCTGTCCATTAGCTCTAGTTAAATCCTATGACTTTCTTCATTCTTCATGTTCATTACCTTTCCCGAAGAGTGTAACATAGCTACACTTTAGAATCTTCCATTTTTTCCCTAGGCTAGCATGACACTGCTCTATCTTCATTTTTATTCTCAAGACACTCAATTATTACTCACTCTTCTTCAGTTTTCCAAATAAAGAAGTGTGGTGGTTTAAAAATATTTCCACAGATTCTTTGCTATTCCTCTCTTCACAAGTTTGAGCTTAATTCCCCTCCCATGGAATAGGGCTAGACTTAATGATTCTCTTATCAGGAATAGAATAAAAAAGAACTGACTATATATGACTTTGGGAGCTCTGGTAGCATAGTGCCTAAGGCACCTGTTAACCAGAAGGTTGGTGGTTCAAACCCACCAGCCATTCCTTGGAAGGAAGATTGGAGGACCTACTTCCATGGGGATACTGCCTCGGAAACCCAAGGAGGGGTCGCTACGAGTCACATCTGACTCGATGGCACATAACAACAACAACATATATGACTTTGGAGACCAGATCATAAAAGGCACTATTGTTTTCCCTTTGCTCTCTTCCTTGTATTATTCACTCTGGGGAAGGCTAGCTGGTATGCTCTAAGTACCTCTACGGAGTGATCACCTGCAAGGAACTGAGGTCTCTAGGCAAAACCAGTAAGAAACTGAGGCCTCCAGCCACCAGCCATGTGAATGAATTATTTCAGATGCAGATACTGCATCACTAGTGAACCCTATAGATAACCGCAATCCTGGGGCACATTTTGACTGTAACTGTATGAGGATGCTAAACTAGAACCAGCCAGTTCTGCTCCTAAATCCTGACCCTCATAAATTGTGAGATAATATGTATTTGTTGTTTTAAGCTGCTAAAATTTGAGTCAATTGCTTATGCAGTTATAGATAACTAATACAATAGGTAGCAAAACCAAACCAAACTCACTGCCAAGTTGGATCTGACTCATAGCGACCCCTTCTTGAGTTTCCAAGGCAGTGTCACTACAGAAGTAGATTACCCAACCTTCCCTCCAAGGAATGGCTAGGGGGTTTGAACCTCCAGCCTTCTAGTTAGCAGTCAAATGCCTTAGGCATAACACTACCAGAGCTCCCCTATGATTCTTTACCCCATATCTCTTATTGCCAGACATAGTCTTTTTTTGTGAACTCACTTGCTCTCATGGCTTCTACAGCCTCATTAATGAATACATTTTATGTCTATGGTATAGTAAATTACTTGGTATGCCACTTCTAGCCATGGTTTTTGTGGCACCCACTGGATGACTAGATGGAACTATGTAAATGTAAGGTGCTGGTGGTCCACCATAGGGATATGAAGTTGGTTAGTAATGTAAATAAGGTACATGTCACACTTGTGGGGGTGGGACTGTGCAAATAAGGTGTATGAAACCCTAATGTGCAGATTGGCCAGTTTTGTCATCTCACTAGGCTTAAAATGAGTTATCCTAGAAGCACAAAGGGGGATCTCCGTGCCATCAAGAGAAAAGAGCCAGAGGACCAAGGTCCAGTGCTGACCTCTTCTGCAGAGAGATCATGGCAGAGAGACCGTGGCAGAGAGACTGTGGCAGAGAGACAGCAGCAGAAGAACTGACACACCAGTGGGAGACAGAGCAGCAGGCTTGCTGGCCCACAGAGCAAGAAAGTGGAGCACCCTTGGACAGGAGGCTTGTTGGCATAGTGGGGTGCATCTAGAAGCACCTGTTGGCAGGCTTTGTAACACCTGCCCAAGCAGAGAGGACAAGGGACAAAGAGAAGCATGCCTAAAGAGCATGGCTGAGGAGAGCCTGTCCTGATTGAAGAATTGTACACTGAGCATTCCTGAACCTGAACTGCAACCTCTTACTTCCCTAAACCAACCTACTGCCATTCTGCATTCTGAGTCACAGTGACCCCTATTGGGTTTTCAAGGCAGTAAATCTTTACAGAAGTAGATTGCCTCATCTTCCTGGGGAGGAGTGGCTTGTGGGTTTGAACTGCCAAGCTTCTGGTTAGCAGTCAAATGCCTTAGGCACTGTGCCACCAGAGCTCCTTGTTACTTCTCTAATGGACCCCATAATCATGAGTTCTGTGCAGTCATTGCAACGAATTATCAAACCCATCAGAGAAGTAGTGAGTGTCACTGGAGAGATGGTTGTTGTCAAAATTGGCAAAAAGTTTGGAGGGTGGTAGCATATGAGGCCTCATGGGAAGAGGCTTTGGGCTGCCGAAAGTGATTCTCTTCCCACCTCATGAAGTTAAGGAAGTTAGAGGACACCACCTCCACGTTCTTTTTGCAATGTTGAAAATTCTAGCACTCCTTTTAAATATCAGACTTACATCTCCGACTAAATGATTCTTTATGCTTCAAATTGAACAAATATTTAATTTTTATATTTATCTCTTCATCCACACCTGTTCCCTTCCTGGTCTTCCCTTTCATAGTTAATGGAGGGACAATTCTTTGTATTTCATAAATTAAAAATCCTAGACTTTTATGTTACAACTTTTTGTTCATCCTATACATTTCAATTATGAGTAAGTTATGTCAATTCTTCTTTAATAATCTCACTTTAATGTATTGTCTTCTTTCCTTTCTCATTACTTTTTCTATCTCCTTTATCTTACTCTTGAGATACATGTAAAATACTAAAACAATGGGTTCATTGGGGCCAACTCTTCTTAGTTATGAGTACCTTGTCGTTTAGAGACAAAGTAAAAATTCCTTATGGTGGTTGTGGTAGTTAAGGTTGTATGTCAACTTGGCCGGGCCTAATTGAGTGGCTAGGCAGCTAGTGGTAGTTATTTCCATGACGAGACTTGCAATCAACTCTATGGTGGGATCTATCACAAGCAGCTGAGTAGCTGTTTTAGGAATGTGGTCTGCTTCTCGTATATAAGCAGCAGCTTTGGGAATGTTCTCTAGCTTATGGCACGCTTGAACCCTGCATGTAGCTGAGTCATTGTTCAGCAGCCTGTCATGCTCTGCCAATCTTGGAACTTTCAATGGACTTGAATCAATGGCCTTCCGTGTTGTTTGGTAACATTGGGACTGTGCTATTTTATTTGTTGACCTTGGACTTGTCAGCCTCAGCAGCCAGTAGCTTCCTAAGTGAAGAGAAGCCTCTAGCTTAAGTGGGCCGGAAGAAAGAGGCAGAGCTGAAGTCCAAGGTTGAGGGGCTTTTACCCAGCCCCTAGGGCCTGGGCTTAGGACTCAGATGTCTAGCCTCCAAAACTTGTAAGAATAAACTCCTATTTGTTAAGGCCACCCTATTTGTGGTATATTCCTGTCAAAGTGGCACTAGGTAACCAAAACAGTGGTATTCAAGGCCCTCTTCAATTGGATTTGATTTTTTCCTTTCAATTTTAGCTCCCATCACTTTCTGTCACACACTTATTCTGCACTCTAGCCAAATCAGCACATTTCTCAAAAATATGCTGATATTTCACTCTATCTGTATTTTTTCTTATAGAATAAATTACCAAAGAATGCAACTCCTTACCAAGGCTCAGTTAGAATCAGGCTATCTCCAACTTCACCTTCCTTGATATTTCCCAAATAGAATTTAACACTCTCTTTTCTATGACTATAGAATCCCATCTATGTTCTAGAATCACACTTATAATAGCTGATTTACATTATGCCCAAACCAAACTCACTGGTACTGATTCAAATGTGACTCATAGTGACCTTGTAGGACAGAGTAGAACTGCCCTATAGCATTTCTAAAGCTGTAAATCTTGGCAGAAGCAGACTACCTCATCTTTCTCCTACACAGTCATTGGTGAGTTGGAACCACTAATCTTTTAATTAGCAGACAAATGGTTTAACCACTGCACCATCAGAACTGCTTGGTTTATACTACAGGTAGTTGGATTTCCCCCAAATAGTGGGGAGCTGTGGTGGCATAGTGCCTAAAGCATTTAACTGCTAACCAGAAGGCTGGCGGTTCAAACCCACCAGCCACTCCTCAGAAGGAAGATTAGGCAATCTACTTCTGTAGTAGATACTGCCTCAGAAATCCAAGGAGGGGTCACCTATGAGTTGGATCTGACTTGATGGCAGTGAGTTTGGTTTAGTGTTTTTAGTCCATGAGCCATTTGACAGTTCCTTGAAGGCTAGTCTCCTCATAATTGTACGTATAGCACAGTGCCTTAGAAATAATAAATATACTGATAAGTGTAGGTTGAAGTAAATAAGTATTTTACAGTTCAATTTATGTGTTACTAAAATAAATATCATTGAATCAAAAAAAATGGCAGCCTACAGAAGTGTTTTCTAGTGTTTGTTTATTCTACTGAAATGATAATTTTTGAGAATTGAAGTCTACTCCTTTTTATAATATTTGGTATGTTCAAGTGTATCCTAAGCAGAATGGAACTGAACAAACTTCACATTCTGATGGCTGGTTGCTGACCCAGATAGAATGTATTTTCATCATCATATACACTTTGTATGCACCACAAAAATGGAAATAAATTCAGTGGGGGAGAAGGCAAGTCACTTAATAACAATCTGGAATTATCACTCACTATGATTAGTCATTTAGACTTCATTTCTCCATATGGATAGATACATAGATGAACATAACCCATACATTTAGATTTTCAGGGGGACACTATAGCTTAGACTTAAGTTTGAAATATCCTTTGTATTTTAAAAACAGATCTGTGAGATTCATTAAACTGAAACTCTGTTATGAAACCCAAGGCACACACAGGGATAAGTGATTTGCCATTTAAAGATGATTTCATTCAATTGCCATAAACAGAAAATCAGAAATAACAAAAGAAACAGAACTTACCTATTGTGCTAACTCTGGCTGAAGGACTAGCTAACGCTGCTGGGACAGAGGCTTTGAGGGGGCCTGCCCCACTGTTTATTCTCAGAGCTGGCATATGGGGAGAGGTGGGTGATGTGGGTGATTTGCCATCAGAGGTCTTGGGTTTAGCTGATAGGTTCAGTGGCTGTGCCACTTCATCCTGCAATGATCATTAGAACATGAGCTGTGACAAGGAAAGGCTGATCAAAAATGTCTAGAAAAATACAGGTATACAGCCTGACAGTTTTCATCAGATTAGTCTACCAATCAGTGACCTTAACATTCAATCAGAACATTACACTTTTTGATTAGCTATTAACACAATATAATTTTCAACTGCATATTACAAAATACCCTTTTGTATATAAGAGTGTACATGTACACCCAGCTATCTAGAAAAAAATATAAAGATGTAACAAGTATGGAATAATCTTACAAAGCTATTCATTTATTGTATTTATTTTTATTTAGAGACATAGTGTTGTTAATATAAAATAATCATGTAGGGAATTTGTTTAATCCAAAGAACAAAGGTTGAGCCTCAAGCAACTTTGTTTGTACCCTTGCAAAGTTTACTTTGGCGTTTATAAACAGGGAAAAAATTATTCCTAGATCATTCCATTTGAAACATTTATTTGACTTGCTCAGCTGTAATCCTTATATATGATGCCTCAGTTGTCAGAAACCCAGAAGTATCATGTCCTATTTCTATACTCCAGTACAGAGAAGTGGTTGTCAAAGTGTGGTCCTTGCATGAGTACCATCAGCACCACTTGGGACCTTGTTGGAAATGCAAATTCTAGATGCCAGCATATCTGGAGTGGGTCCTAACAGCTTGTGATTTAACAAGCACTCCCAGGTGATTCTGATGCATGCTAAACTTTGAAAACTACTGCCTTGTATAATATAAAGGGAGACAATTACAATCCTTTCATTTATTACACATCAAAACCCTTTAAAAAGCTTCCTCATTGTAAGAAGGCAACAAAAATAATAAATATTACCTCAATCTTTAAAATATGATTGTGAAATACCATATATTATTAAGGATAAACAAAGCACACAAACATATGTTGTTGTTGTTGTTGTCATGTTCCGTCGAGTCAGACCCGACTCATAGCGACCCCTCCTTGGGTTTCCAATGCAGTATCACTACGGAAGTAGATTGCCCCTTCTTCCTTCTGAGGAGTGGTTGGTGGGTTTGTTGTTGTTTGTTGTTATGTGCCAGTCGAGTCGGCCCCGCCTCATAGAGACCCCTTCTTGGGTTTCCAAGGCAGTATCACTACAGGAGTAGATTGCCCTATCTTCCTTCCGAGAAGTGGCTGGTGGGTTTGAATTGCCAGCCTTCTGGTTAGCAGTCAAGTGCCTTAGCCACTATGCTACCAGAGCTCCCAAAGAACTAAAAGCTACTGACAATTTAGTAGCACAATGATTAGAATCCAGATCTTCCTCAGTTTAGCCTAAAAATCCTGTCAGATGTTGCCTCAATACATCAATAATTTTGACCTATTATACGATATTATTTCACAATTTGGTTGTTTTCATAATATATTACTGAGCTAGTAACCAAATGTCTATTACTCATGAAGGATACAAAAATTACAGTACTTTCCCAATTTCTGTTATTTATTGACTCAAAACAAAAACCAAACCCACTGCTGTCGAGGCAGTTCTGACTCACAGCAACCCCTCCTTGGGTTTCTGAGGCGGTATCTCTATGGAAGTAGATTGCTCAGTCCTCCTTCCGAAGATTGGCTGGTGCGTCTGAACCACCAGCCTTCTGGTGAGCAGTCAAATGCCTTAGGCACTACGCCACCAGAGCTCCTGCCTTTATTGACTGTTGTTGTTGTTGTTGTTTGCCGTGGAGTCGGCCCCGACTCATAGTGACCCCTCCTTGGGTTTCCGAGGCAGTATCACTACGGAAGTAGCATTGCCCAACCTTCCTTCCGAGGAGTGGCTGGTGGGTTTGAACCACCAGCCTTCTGGTGAGCAGTCAAGTGCCTTAGGCACTATTGCTACCAGAGCTCCTGCCTTTATTGACTACTATGCTGTAATTATTCTATGCACTTTTTTCCCTCCATACAAAATGGGTACCTGTTTCCTTCCTTCCCCATGAAATGACTGGTTTCTGCTTGGATAGTACTAGAACTTCCTTTGGCAGTATCATAACTCTTACAAAACTTTTGGGAATATCAGGAAAAATGAAATGTAGCTGTTTCATATGACTGTACAGAAAAAAAGGAAATAATATATTTCCATAGTTGGAAGAGAGGATATTAATGAGCACAGAATAAAGGAGAATGTGATGTAGACATAGGGGCAGTGGTCTTTTGATGAAAATGATGTTGTTGTGAGTGCAGATAGGGTGAAATGTGTGTCTTCCCTTTAAGAACTAAAAACTACTAGATGTACACGCGGAAAGGTGACTATTCAAAGCATTTATTAGGTCAAGGGACCCACTGGAACTCTTAATATTCTCCCATCCACTGAAGGCAGCACAGCTGTCTGAAAGCCAAAAAAGTACAAGGCCCCTAGGACTGAGAGGTTGACAGTTCCAAAGCTGATATAAATGTCATTCAAAATTGCTCTTTCTTGTATGGCCGGGCTAATTGTATATTAATAAGACCTCATATGCTTGATCCTTATACTGGTAACTGTATAAATAATTTTGACCTATTACATATTATTTCACAATTTGGTTGATTTAATAATGTACTACTGAGCTAGTAACCAAACACGCCACCAGAGCTCCTATTATTCATGAAAGATAAAAAATTATTTTCCCTATTTCTATTAATTATTTTCCATTTTTCTAGATGAAAATTCAAAAACCAAAACTATGAAATGGAAGTAGACTATTTATTTATGATATACATTCTGATAATTATGAATATGAGTGATAAAGCTGAAGGTAAGGCTTTTTTCTAGTTTGTAATTTACTGAATTTGCACTATTCAGGGAAAATTTTTGTGAAAGCCTAGCATGACTCACCCATATTCCAGCAAAATATATATTTTAAAATTACAAATAAATAATTTACACATAAAAGAATATAAGTGATTTTCAAGGTCATGGGAAAGATAGCAATTCTATAAATTCCATCATCAAGCAGTGAGGACAGAAATTTCCTTATTTGTCTAATTATGCTATGATGTTAATAATTGAAACCACTGGAAATAACATATATTATAATTATTTCATTTATATATAAAATAATTAAGAAGAATCTTAAGTATTTCTTAAGTAGCTTGAAACTTGTATATGATTAATGTAAGGTAAGCATTTAAGCTTATGTAAGTTTTAAGTATTATTTATACCTACAGAGTACATTATAAATATTTCAAATGATCTATTTCGTCTGCAAAAATTTGAAGTACTTGTTGATAACTTCATGGAGAAAAGTAAAGTTCAGAAAGTTCTATCTAGTGAAATGTCCAGAGAAGCTAGAAATTGAACCTACGTTTTTAGACTCAACATACAATACTCCTTCCATACATATGACAAATTTAATCTTAAATTTAAAAAACACATTTATAAAATATATGAAATTCAGCCCTAAGCATATAATTCCATGATGTAATAAACCACATGAAGTTTAGTACACATGAGATAAAATAAAATAATATGCATATTTACAATTTTGTAGATAGTAAAAAAGTTAAGGCATACATTATTGACTTATTTTGGAGATGGATCTGTCCTCTACACTATATGGCACTGAAAATTTATTTTGTTAATATTAAAGAGTTGTTTAATTAGACTATTCTTTGAGAAAAATCCCAAGGGTTCACATGTAATGTGACAGAAAATATGTAATAGATCATAGAATGCTGTGAAAGAGAATAATTTGTACATCCAAACACAAGTTTTCAGAACACATTCATGATGATAACTTCTCCAAATAAAGCATTGGCTAAGCTTAGTTATCTGGGACAGAATACAAAACAATTAAAATCTAAATATAGAATTCAGGCACATTTTATTTACTTATAACTAACTAATGACTTGTCTGAAAGCAAACATCTCACTTGAGACCAGCTTGTGGTCATGGCAGTGGAAATACATCCAAGGCCCTAATTAATTCATATCCCAGGGAATGACAATCCACCCCCCAACACACACTCAAAAAAAAACCAAACTCACTGCCGTCGAGTCAGACTCAACTCATAGTGACCCCTTCTTGAGTTTCCGAGGTAGTATCACTACAGAAGCAGATTGCCCAACCTTCCTTCCAAGGAGTAGCTGATGGGCTTGAACCTACAGCCTTCTGGTTAGCAGTCAAATGCCTTAGGCACTATGCCACCAGAGCTCCTGATGATCTCCCATTCCACTAAAAAAACAGTACAGATAAACAAAATAATCTGAGAAAATATACGTAGTTTTAGATGCACTGAAGAAATACCAGCTGTCACTTTGATGTCAGGGATAATTCACATAAATTTATCAAATGCTGTCCAAGAACTATATAAAGTTAAAATGTATTTCACTTAGAAGATTTTCAAATAATGAGATTATGTTATTCAAGCATAATTATATAATATTCACAATATTATAATGTGAAAATTATTTAGAAAAATCAAACATAATTTATCAGAAAAAATACATTCTCTGGAATTTGCCATAGTTTTTTCACTCTCCCTACTCTCTAGCTGTCCTTTATTTATTCATTTTTTTCTTTGCTAAGGAAATTTAATAGAGGCCTAGAAAATAATGGTGCCCAATTCATGTCATCATTGTTATTTGCCATCAAGTCAGACCCGACTCATAGCGACCCCTTCTTGGGTTTCTGAGGCAGTATCACTACGGAAGTAGATTGCTTCATCTTTCTTCCAAGGAGTGGCTGGTGGGTTTGAACCACTAGCCTTCTGGTACAATCAAGTGCCTTAGCCACTACGCCCAATTCATAGAGAAGTCTATTTGTTTCTTCCTGTTTGTGTTTGTGTTCTTCTTCATAACATGAAAATATACGTACATGAGGTTCCTAGGACCACAAGATATACCACTGAGGATGTGCAAATGATACTCTTCAAAAGAAAAATTTCATCTTCAGTTACATCTTTATTCATTCTCATTATTTAAATGATTATCACTTCATGCCATGTCACCATTATCTTAAAACTTCCCTTCCTTAAATATTTACCTAAAGTAGATATTAAAAAT